AGCAGACATCATCTCCCGAGCGCAACACTCATCCCTGGAACGTCTGGATAATAAGGATACCTACATCAAGCTTCTACTTATTAACTATAGCTCCCCTTTCAACACTATAACACTCTAACACCAAGCACCCGTGGACCAGTCGAACCAGGAAATTCCCCGTTACAATGGATATTTCAGCACTCTACACCAGCATCCTCCATGACGACGGCATCACTGCAACAGTCTCAGTACTCAATACCAACAACTGCCAATTTCCAGATGCCATCCTACAACTCATCCACATACTCCTCAACAACATCTTCACCTTCGATAAGCAGTTCTTCATCCAACACACGGAACAGCAACGGAGACCAAATTTGCACCCCAATATGCCAACATTTTCATGCACAGATTTGAGCAAGACTTCTTTGCTGCATAGGACCTGCAATCAACACTATACAGAGATACAATGACAAGATTTTCTTTCTTTGGAATCATGGTGGTGAATCACTGAAACGACTATATAAGCGATATCAACAGGTTTCATCCACCATCAGACATACCATGGACTACTCTTCAGAATCAGTCTCATTCTTGGACACACGGATCTCCATCAAGGAGAGACACCTCTGTACCTCATTCTACCACAAGCCTACAGATAACCTCACGATGCTGCACTTCTCTAGCTTCCACCCTAAGCATATTAAAGAAGCCATCCCCTACAGACAAGCCCTGTGCTTACAAAGGATCTGCTCAGATGAGGAGGAATGTGACGGACACCTAAAGATTCTGAAGGAGGCCCTCATAAGAATGGGATACAATGCTCAACTCATTGATCATCAGATCCGACGTGCCACAGCAAAAAACCGCAAAGACCTCCTCAGAAGACAGACACAGGATATGACCGATAGAATACCAGCAGTCGTCCAGTACTTCCCCGGAGTGGAGAGACTAAACCATGTTTTCCAGAGCCTTCAACATGTCATCGATGATGAAGAACATCTCACTGAGATCATCCTAATGCCTCCACTTCTCGCCTTCAAACAACCGCCAAACCTTAAACAGACCATTGTCCGCGGCAAACTATCCAGCCTGCAGGACATCAACCACAACACCACACAAGCCTGCCATGGCAACCTCTGCAAGACATGTCAGATCATCAACATGTATACTACCATCACTTGTGGGAACACCACCCACCACTTATATGGCAGATACTCATGTGACATAGCCAATGTAGTTTATTTCATACGCTGCAGGCAAGAATGTCCTGAGGCATGGTTATTGGCGAGACCATGCAGACGCTACAATAACAAATGAATGGACACCATGCAACAAATCGCCAGACAGGAATGTTCCCTCCCCATCGAGGAACACTTCAGCAGTCAAGGACATTCAGCCTCTGATCTTCGAATAAGCGTCCTCCAAGGCGAGATACACAACAACGCAGAATCGCCGAGCAGAAAGTGATAGCCAAGTTCTGTATCCAGGAAGACAGCCTCAACTGTGACCTTGGGTTCATGTCGTGCTACATGTGACCCGGCCACACTGTTCTATATCTGTAAAACCTTCATTCCTGTCCTGTTTTGACACCATCACATTGACAAATTATTATGATCTCGCCATCTTAATTATTTTGTACAGTTTTGAATTACTTACTACTTTGGTTAGACTTTTGGCACGCAACTCTTATACTTCTCATTTTATTCTAGTAATTTAGTTTGTGTCCAGAACCACGTTAATTTTAATGTTTTGTAATTATCTCTGCCTGATTTAGTCAGATTATAGATCATCTTTTCACTTGCTATTCAGCTGTTGACACTTTACTCACACCATCTAACACTGGTCACCCGCACAGACGTTTTTTTTCGACATTCCACTCACACCAGCTGTGTGATCTTTTGATCTTTCTGCCTATAAATTCTGTGTCTGTGTGCTCTTCTCTTACACTTCACCTATTGAAGGAACTGCGCTCCAAATGAGATTTCAAATAAACCTGTTGGACTATAAGCTGGTGTTGTATGACTTCTGACTTTGTCCACCCCAGTCCAACACCAGCACCTCCATGTCACACTATAATCCCAACCAAACTAATCTCCAAACTCTGAGACCCAGATCTCTGTAACCGTTCTGCAACTGGATTCTCAACTTCCTGACACATAGACCACAAGCAGTGAAGATAGGCAACAGCACCACCTCCACAACAATCCTCAACGCCAGCATTCTCAGCCCTCTAAGTAGTCCCTGTACACTCACAACTATGCGGGCAAATTTCATCTGAACTCCATCTACAAGTTCATTGACAACACCACCATTGTAGGCCGATATCAAACAATGATGAGACAGAATACAGGAGAGAGATAGAGTGCTTGGTGGTGTGGTATAAAGATAACAATCTCTCCCTCAATGTCAGCAAAACTAAAGAGCTGATTATTGACTTTGGGAAGAAAGGAGAAGGGCATGCCCCTATCTACATCAACAGAGCTGAGGTGGAGATGGTCAAGACTATCTAGTTCCGAGGAGTGACAATAACTGACAATCTGTTCTGGACCACCCACGTAGATGCGACGGTCAAGAAGGCACAACATCTCTTCTTCCTCAGGAGAGTAAGGAAATTCGACCTGCTCAGGAAGACTCTCACCAACTTTTATAGATGCACCACAGAAAGCATTCTATCTGGATGCATCACGGATTGGTACAGCAACTATTCTGCCCAGGACCATAAGAAACTACAGAAAGTCGTGAACACAACCCAATCCACCAAAAAAGCCAATCTTCCATCCATTGACTCCATCTACACTCCACGCTGCCTCAAAAAGGCAGCCAACGTCGTCAAAGACCCCTCCCACCCCAGTTATAATCTCTTCCAACCTCTTCTGTCACGCAGAGATACAAAAGCTTAAATGCACATACCAAGAGGTTCAAGAACAGCTTCTGCCCTGTTGTTGTTAGACTTCTGAACAGACCTCTCAAATTTCAAACCTAATGCTGATCTTGGTTTTTGTGACCCTTCTTTGCATCCTTCACTGTTCAATCACCCTATGATCTTTGAATGTTATGTTCTGCCTATACTGCAAAACAATACTTTTTGCTGTACTTAGGTACATGTGACAATAATAAATTGTGTGCCAATTAACAATACTTATTTACCAGTCACATGGAAATAGATGCAAGGTATACACTTGATGAAGTTTCATTACTTTAAGTCTAAAGTATGATTATTTCTACCTTACGGGAAATCCAAACAACTTAATCCATAAATTTTACTGCTCTTATTATCATTTATTGTACATTTCATCCAATATCTACATGCCCTAATTACTAACTTAACTGTACTATGTTCTTTTATTGTTAATCAAACTCCACATTTTCAGTCTGGGTGCAATAATTGAACAAAAATAAGGTTGTAATGCAGGTGAATGACAAACTGATAGGATAAAAACCGTGTCTCTTTTCTTGCGGATATTGCAGAAGCACACCTCATGAAGTAGTATACTGTCACGATATGATTTTCAATTAACTTATGCTATAGTTCAGGGTAATATTGAAGGTATACTATATCAAGAGAAATGCCACCTTTTGAATTGCACATTAAAATTAATCTGATTGAAAGTAAGATTAAAATTACTTTGTTGACTCTGAAGTATGCTGGAACATCTTATAATTGCAAAAGGTGCTTGTTAAAAGTAATTCATTCAGCAATTTGCCCATCCACCAAAATCAATTAACTAGTATTTTATCTCTGCTGTTTGTAGAATATTACCATGTGTGAAATTAATTTGCATTTGCTTTGTATGAAGTCATGTAGAATTTGTAACAAAAACAGAACCATTTAGCCCATCTATGTTGACATTCACTCTCTATATAAATCGTAGTCCACCCAGTTCCCATATCACTTATTTACGTTCATATACTTAACCTGCTTTTAGCTGCCATTTTTATTGCTTCAATTGTTAAACATGTTTCAAAACTTCACAACCCTGTCCAAAATAATTCTGTGCATTTAGTCTATTTCCTGTAACTACACCTATCAAAACATAAAAACAATCTACCCTGTCAGATTCATTCATAATTTTAAACACTGCTCTAAACACCCTTTAATCTTCCTTTCTAATGAAAACGGTTCCAACTCTTAAACAGAAACAGAACACTTAAACATAGGGTCAAATAATAGATGTGCAAGGAAGAAACAGCTAATATTTCAGGTCAGTGACCTTTCAGAACAGCCATCAATCCAAATGTTAATACAGTTCCCCTTTCTCTAGCATGCACAGTACTTTGCTTTACTTTTCTTTTGAATTTGTACTTCCTGATACCAGGCAGAATCTTAGTGAATCTGTGCCACACACTCATTATCACCATATCATTTTACTATCTATGGAACTCGAAATAGTACACATAGTCCAAATGTAATATTACTGAAGTTTTATATAGGTTCAAACTACATTTTGATTTTTGTATTTTGCACATCTTGCCTGAGAACCCAGTATAATCAACATGTTTACGGCCTTATTCGCTTGCAAATGAAAACCATTTTCTTTTCTGTATCTCTTAGATTTACTCAAACTATAATTGTCCTGCCTACCTAAGTTTGCTGATATTGCTTCACTTCTTTCGCCCAATGTTAACGCTGCAACAATAGCCTCTGATACTCACAATCACATGATTACAAATCCTACTTGTTGTATTATCTGGCCCCCTTATCTAAACGGTTGTATACTGAGGATATTAACAAACAGCATATAAATATAGAAGTGCATGCGTTTCCTCACTTAAGTCCAGCAGATTTTGCACAGGGCCATCAACATAAGTGACCAATGTCTCAATGTACACTTGCTTTCTGCAGAGAGGGAACCTCAGACACCAGGTGAAACAAAACTGTGAAGGGTCTTTTCCAATCCTCTTCACAGTCGATCCAGCCTGCAGTTCACCAGCTCCGATCAATGCTGCTTCGCCCACCCGCCCCTGTTTCCCATCTGGGTAGGACCTGGCTACATACAGAAAAAACAGCAGCCACTCACCTCCACCGACCCCCGGGATCGAGTGTTGCCCTCCTAGCACAGTGCCGGCGCCCCGGGAGAGGGGTGGTGACAGGTTATTGAGCAAATCGGCCCTGTTCCCCGACCCCGAGCGTACACCCAAACCTGCCGCCAACTACAGCCTCCCGTTCCACAGTCGCCCGCTGCTTCTATCATGGAGTTTATTCAGAGATATTGACCAGTCCATATCCAGCCGCGTACACTACACTTCGCTTCATGCTAACCACTTCAACACCGATCTCCGGTCGATTGACAGGCCAACCAGCCAATCAGTGACCGAGACCGCCAGCCGCTAGCCAATGGCCACACAGTAAGCGACCAGCGCAGGGTGACAGATCCCGCCCCCGCTCCTTTGTTTGAAGTTCGGAATCGATTATCTCCGTCGTTCCTAACGGTAAACAGTTCCAATCATGGAAAGGAGAGAATCCGAACCCGTGTTCGAACTTCAAACGGGTCCTTTCTGTCACCTCGCCAACGGAATGAGGTTGAATCCTTACCGCCGCCGCAGGTGAGCTGTTAGCCGTTACCGTTCGTCCTGGAGATTTCTGTTTCCCACTGCGCGCTGCGCTCGCGATTCCACCGGCCCCCTCCCAGAGCCGAGCCCCGCCTCAACCTCTCGTGCCAGCCCAAGCAAGATTTCCTCCAGTCAAGCGGGGAGTTTGCAGCTATGCCGCTTCTCGATCTGCAAAATTTCTTTCTTTGCAGAGGCGGGTGATTTCATGCCCAGCAACAGGCAGTTGCTGAGAATTCATTGTTTCTCGCCTCTCTTTTCGGTTTTTTTTTAAAGAGCTCCGTTACACACGAGCAGGATGCATGGGCCCCGATAGAGGCAGGAGCGGTGTAGCGGATTGTTCATGATGACTCTTCTTGGAGATGTGGGTAAGCCATTCCCTCCCCTCCCACCTCTGGAAACTTGCCCGATTTTGTGTATGGGGCCCTACTGGCGGCCTCGTTGAGCTCGGAATTTTGATTTGGGAAGACCGATGGGCTGGCTGCATTGGAGGCAGTAACACAGCGGGGTCGGGGGAGCTGGCCATGGCCATGACAGGGAGCAAGACTGGGAGGGGGCCGACTGTGCAGAGGAACAGCGCTCTTCACTCTCTTGGGCAGCGCATGGGGCCCCAGCCCCTCCTGGTATCGTAGGGGCACAAGAGGGGACGGTGTTAAGACTTCTAGATTTTTGTTGTAAGGGCAGCTGAACCCACAGTAGGCAAAGGCCCGGTGAATGGATAATCATTCTCAGCCTGCGCTCCACTTGTAACGAGGATCAACATCCAAAACCGCGGGAAGTCCCCTGTCCTTCTAGGCCCGAAACGTCAGCCTTCCTGCTCCTCTGATGCTGCTTGGCCTGCTGTGTTCATCCAGCTCTACACCTTGTTATCTCAGATTCTCCAGCATCTGCAGTTCCTGCTATCTCTGGAAGTCCCCTGTCCTTCGTTTAGGGTGTACCACTGAAAATGGCATTACCTGA